GGGCTGGGGTCCCAATGGCTGCCTCCATGCATGCAGAGCATCAGGAAACCACCACCAGGAGCAACAGTCCTGGGGTGCCTGGCTGTTTGAGTCCCATTGCCCTTGGTGGACAGCTCTGCAGAGGAAGGCCCAAAGAACACCTTCAATTGGGCAGAAAAGTGGTGGCCAGGAATCAAAGTGAGTGCTGAAAGCACCAGGGCCCAATGGGATGGGTTCCCACTATTCTCACTTCATTGCTGCCCTTCCTGCAGAGCAGGCTGTGTCCTAGGAGGCAGGTTTGGCAGTTGGAGCTGGCAGCCTTCAGAGCCTTGTGTGATCTGACAGCTGGGGAGACACCGCCCAATCACCCTGGACAAGGGCATGTCCTGAGGCCTCCCTCGCCAGGCTGGGCCGGGCTGCTGGCGGTCGCAGCTGCTGCGTGCACACGGCTCCACCGCTTACCTACCATGTGATCTGGAGCAAGGCATTTAACCTCTCGGAATGGGTTTGCCCAACTGAAAATGGGGATAAGCATGCTCACGGCACTAATACTTCGCAGATACGGAGCATGCAGAGTGGGAATGTAAGGAGCTGTCCTAAGAGGGCTCATCTAGGAAAGGAGACTCTAAATACTGCTCTTCTGTTTCTTTTGATGATGTTGTTGTTCAGGTAAATTCTGGAAGTGTGTGCTAACAGCCTGTTGTAGCTCTCTTTTGACTTTTTAAAATTAAAATGATCACACTAGTTTGACCCCCCCGATTTTCCCACCTTTCCCCAGGAGGAAGCTGTGGCCCTTGTACAGAAGTAGCACAGGTGTGACGGTGGTGTCCTTTTGAGAGTCACACAGGCGTGGCAGCCCAGAGCAAACTCCTCTGCCTGTGTCTCATGTTGACCTTGGTCGGGGCACTTCCTTCAGCCATGACACTAGCAGGTTGGTCCAGGTGACCTGAAGTTCCTGTCAGCTCCAACATTTCAGCATTTTCTGATTTAGAAGCAAAAATCCTCAGGGGAGGACTTTGAATTATCCTGTTGATAATCTGAGATCATAGAGTGTTAATGTCATTTTCTTGTGTGAACTTCAGAAGAGGGAAATTACTTCTCCTAAAGAAGGAGAAGTCATGTGTCTGTCATAAAACGGGATTTGTGGTTGTTTAATTTTTTAAATCCAGCCAGATTAACATTTGAATCTGTGGAAAGAAACATTTGAATCCATGGGAAGACTCTGATTTTCTAAGAGAGATTTGTGAAAATGTTCCATTTGATATATACAATGGAATATACAACTGACCAATGTGGGGGTTGGAGTGCTGACCCCCACACAGTGGAAAATCCTCATATAATTTTTGAGTCCCCCAAAACTCAACTCCTAATAGCCTACTATTGACCAGAAGCCTTAGCCATAACATAGTCAATGAACACAGATTTTGTATGTTATATGTACTTTACACTGTATTCTTACAATAAAGTAAGCTAGAGAAAAGAAAATGTTTTTTCAAATTATTGCAAGTCTCCAAAATTTTTTCTAATATATTTATTGAAGAAATTCTGTAAAAGTGGACCTACACAATTCAAACCTATTTTGTTCACAGGCCAACTATGTATTGTATGTAGATATTTGTAAATGATGAGCCATAAAAATATTTTAAAGTAATACCCACAAGCCCACCACTGGTCCAAAGAAACAAGATAATGGATCCCACTGCGAGTGGAGCTGGCCCTCTCTGACCCTGCACCTTCTGCCCCACCAAAGATAACCAGCCTGATTTTGCATTACATTCCATTGCCTTTTTTAACTTGCTTACATTGTTGAAACAGAATTTATGGATACAGGTTTGCATAAAACAAGCATGTACTTACAAATAAGTACAAAGTGAATTCCTTTGTAACAGCCCTCCATGGACTTCCCAGTGCCAATCCATCCCCTCAACATGATATCTGACTTTTAATTAAGGTAGCCAATCACCTTTTTGATTTTTGCCACCACTTCACCTGTCATGTAAGGATCACGCAACAACTTGTTTAGCGTTTGTGTGTTGGGCTTCGTAACTTCCTTAGTAGCTCTCTGCTCAGCGTTTCAAAGCGTTTCAGAGATGCTGGATGCCCTGGGCCAATTCTGCAGCCTCGAAATCCGGGCAGAGGTGTGGGCTCGGTACATTGTTACAGTTACATTAGGAGGATTAGTAATAATGAAAACCGTTATAACCCCTCTTTACAGCATGTCCCCATCCTGCTGGCCATTCTGCTGAGTGTTGTCTCCAATTGTCTCATTTATCTTTACAGCAACCCCTCAAGGGGATGTTGGGGCCTTTTCTCTCTTTTTCAGAAATGAAATAATTGAGGTTTTGACTGCAGGACTGTCCCATCTGCTTCCTAGCTGCTCATCCCCAGGCACATCAACCCTGAATCCTGAAGCCATGATTCCCTGGCAGGTGCCGAGTTAGCAAACACTTCTGTAACTTCCATCTGCTCCTCCCAGGTTCCTTTCTTGGTGGCCCTGGTGGGCTACTTTTACATGTGACAGCAGAAAGAAGCTCAGAATCTTTTTTTTTCCCAGCAAATATCAATATCTTAATGATGCCTGGCATCCTTCCTCATCTGTATTGTTCTGATGATTAACGTGCAACACTGTCCTCATATTGTTTGAAACAGGTTGTGTGGTGTAATGAAAAGCATCAAGTTAAAAGCCCTGAGTTCAAACCCTATCTCTACCATGCCCCACCTCTGAATCTGTCTCATCCGTAAATGAGCCTGCAGTGGCAGCCTGCCCTGCCGTCAGAATCATAAGAGGGGAGAGACAGGACGTGCTTCGTGAAGAGCCTAGAGACTCACGGAGCCTCCCTGCAGGCCCCTCTCAAATCTCTGCTGGGATCATGGACTAGCTCGCTGGGCAGGTCGGGCTCTGAGGGGGATGATCCAGGGCCACCCCACAATTTGACAAACACCAGGATATCAAGGCAGAGAGGTAAAGGGCAGAGCTGGGGGAATGGGGGGGGGGAATCAGGCCCCGACTGGGCCCTGTCACCCCGAACTGTGACAACTGCTCACATGGACTGTGTCTGGCACCACACACCATGGTGTTCATGGAACGCCTCCTTTGATGCTCACGGCGCCCTATGACACAGGCATCAGGGTTATCTCCCCTCTGGTGGGGAAGGAAATCAAAATTCTGCAAGGTGAAGTGACTGTTCCACAGCTAAGGCAGGACCCAGCCACCCCATTCCTAACCGCTGGGCAGCACCAGAGGCCCTGCTGCCCCCTGGATTCCCAGGGGCTCCACAATTCCGTGGAGGTTGTGCTGGACCAGCCCAGTCTTGCCCCCAGGGGCAGAGGTCATCCTGCAGCCCAGCCGGGATCCCCCAACAGTTCCCGCCTGTGGTTCCTGCATCACAAGCCGGAAGGGCCACCCAGGCATGGTCAGGTCTGCAGCTTCTCAAGAGTTACAAAGAAAGCACCTGGGCTGGACAGTTGTTCCACAGAGACGGAGGAGCTCAACCTACCCTGATGGGTGCCTGCGGGGACCAGCCTGCACCCGAGGCAGAAACCTGAGTCTGGACTGTCCCCACCATCCGCCAGGTACCACCACCAACTTTTCCCAGCCGCCTCCCCCCTCCAGCTGCCCTCCGAGGGGCCTCTCTGGCAGTAAATGATGCCCCGAGGTCAGCAGGCTTGGCACAGCTGTGGCTGTCGGTGGCCAAGCACAGTCCTGCTGAGGAATGTGCAGACCCACGTGTGTCAGAGCCCCGCTGGGGCACGGTTACAGGAAAAGGAGCAAACAGCCTGCTGGCAGGGGCTCACCCCTGCCGCCTCCAGGCTCCGGACCCCTGGGGGCTGGGGGCTGCCCTGCAGTGCAGAACGCAGGGCTGGGCACTCCAGGAGAGCCAGGTTCTGTTACTAGTTGTGCAGCTTTGGGGAAAACTCCCTCTCCCTCTCTGGGCCAGTGTCCTCTCTTCTCTGTGAACGAGAGGCTGTCCCAAGCTCAGAAGGGCACTGATTTTGTGACATGCTCCTGTTTCTGGGAGGACACTTTCCCCACTGTCTCCTCTATTCTCCTCCTATAGGCCAGGGCACACCCCCAGGGATGCCAGGCTCCCCCACTGGCAGCCCGTGGCAGCAGAAAGCCCCTCACTAGTGCCATGAGAAAGTTAACCCTTCATAAGGGAAAGAGACCTGAACCTGGGAGAGGGTTCCAAAGAAGCCACGAGCCAGAGCTTCAGGGCCAAAGTGATAATACTGTAGTATTCATTATCACCCACCCCAGTTCGAGTACCCTGCCCAAGAGTTTTGAAACAGAGGTCTACTGGCTATTTGGGGGCACCCACTGTCCCTGGGTTAACCACAGGGCCACATCCACCAGGTCAACTGGAGTCAAGATCTGCAGGCCTAAGGGGAGTCAGTATCCATTTGGGGCTCCCTCGGTCCCTGCAGATGTGTGGCTTCACTATGCCTCCTTTTAGAGATGTGGGATGAGGCTCAGAGAGGCTGAGCAGCTGCCCAAGGCTGCACAGCCAGGAGGTATCTCAATGAAACCGAGCCTGCCGCGTGGGACTTCCCCTCGACCCCGCCACACCGCCGGCTCTGGGTTCCCTCCAGTACTACTGGGCGAACTCGTGGTCGCCGGGAGCGCGTACTCGCGCCCGCGTTTACTGCTCAGGCCGAGGGCGCGCGGCGGCGCGAGCCCGCGGTGACAGGTCCGCCTGCCCCAGGCGGAGGCAGAGCGAAGGCTGGAGGAGGCGCCCCGGCCGCCGGCGACGCGCTGCCAGGGGCTTAGGGGTTTCTTCCTGGGGAATGAACCTCCGGGGTTGGGGAGCGGAAAGGGTCGGGGATTTCGCAGGCTACAAGGAACGGTTGGTTTGGTTTAAACTAAAAATACCCGCCCGCCGCAGCTGTCACCCGGGCCCCCGCCCCAGCGCCGGGCGCGCCCCCTCACTGCCCTGGACGGTCGGCGCCCCCCGACCCCGGGGGAGGCCTCAGGGCTGGGCCGGGGGCTGAGGCCCCGACCCGCCCGGCCCCCTGCCACTCACCCGGTCCGGAGGTGCAGGAGCGCGGCGCCGCGGGCAGCTCCGGCCGTGCCGCCCTCCTCCTCCCCGCGTCCCGGCGGCTCCGGAGAGGGGCGGGGCCGGGGCGGAGCCCGGACACCCGCCCCCGCCCGGGTCCCCGGGGACCCGTCGCTGGAGGCGCCTCGGGCCCCCGCCACTCCGGCCCGGTCCAGGAGGGACGCTCCCGGCTGTGCGCGCTCTGCGGGGGCCCCCGAGTCGACACCAGCCCGGCGGTGCCCGACGCAGACCGCCCCCTCCGGGGGAGGGAGCCCCATCCCTGCTCCCCGCCCGGCCCCCAGGGTGCCCTCTGCGCCCCGAGCCCCGGCCCCTCCTCCCGCCTGCCACCGCCCCGGTCTCATCCTTGCAGATGGCGCGGAGCCCATCTTCCCTGGGGAAAGTTAGATCTAGGGAGGGAGTTCCTCTGGGGTCCAGACTTGAGGAGAGGGCTGGGGAGCTGGCAGGTGTTGCCCTCTCAGAGCCGAGGTTGGGGCAGAGGCAGGGGCACCCCTCCCCGAGGCTCGAAATACAAGAAGGAAGTGACACCCATCAGCCAGCCAGACAGTGAGGGCGCCCCATCCGGCCCCTCCCACCCACGGTTCGCGAGCCACTGCGCAGGGGACCTCTGGGTGCCAGGCTAGGTTGGGAGACCGCCAGGATGACGAGCGGCGGCGATGGGCAGTGAGCCACAAGAAAGGTGAATCCCACCCCTAATCTGAACCCCCTACGATCCTGAGGCCCAAGGATCTGCTCCCTTTCTCTCCAGGAGCCCCTGCCCACTAAAGACTCATCCTCCCAACTGTCCGCCAACCCCTAATTCAGCGACTCCACCACCTGTTTCACCTTGCAGGAGAAAGTCTAAATCTTACCTTTCCATGCCTTTGTCTCCCAGTGCCTTCAAGACCTTTGTCCTCAACCCCAGCCCAGATCTTCTACCCTAGTCCAAGCTCTTCCTGGGAGTAATTACAGGTGCACAGGGTGGTTTCACCTCCTTAGGATGGGGATGAAAGCCGCTAAGGGAAGACACAATTTGTTGAACTCTGTACCATGCAGGCTCCAGTCTTTACAATTTAGGTGTGGCTACACCCATTTTGCAGATGAAGAAAAAGAGGCAGGGCTTGAAGAGTTAAGTAACTCACCTAAATCTAATTCTTCCCAGAGGGTATTTTTCATCAGTGTTCTAAGAGAAAGTTTAAGTTGTAAAATAGGACCAGATAGTAACGGTGTGTGTGTGTGTGTGTGTGTTACCAAAACCCAAAATTAGCACTGGGGTAGACTTAGCTTGATTTAGAATGCCAGAGTGCCAGCCACACCCCCTTAGTGCCCATTCATTAAGATATAGTCATTAAGAGTCATAGGAGATACACACAAAGCGCTTCTCCCATCCTTGCCCTTTACTGGCTCTAGGTGTCCTATTATGTTTCTCATTATCACCCTGACTCCATTCGAAGTTAGGCCTTGGGGTGACACCAGCCAAGCTGAAGGTGCAGAGGGCGATTAGCCATTATAACTAAAGACTACTTGGGATTTGGATAATGCTCTTTGCTTTTCCAAATGCTTTCACGTGGGTCTCTTCATTAAATATCTGCAAAGATACTCCAGGTAGTTAGGAAAAGCCTAATTAGTTCTGTTCTATGGAGGCAAGTAAGGCATAAACAGGTCAGGTGATTGCACAGTGGTTTAAGATGGCCCTGGCAAGGTTGCTAGAAGGACGGAAGTCAGTTTCCTACAGTAAGGGATGCCCTGTTGCAGGTAGGAGTAAAGAGCTCAAGCTCTGGTGTCAAATTGCCCAAGTTTGCAACTTTCAGCTTGTTACTCATCCTTGGTTTCCTTTCTGTTAAATGGGTCTAATAACAGGAATTTATGTTGAATGGTTTTATGCCTGGTATTATGAGTACCCAGCTCATGTGAGCTGTTCTGGGTGTGGTATGCCCACTAGTTTTTGGCATACAGCTATCCAGCCCTTCATCAAACATTTCCTGAGCACCTACTGTGTGTTAGTCCCTGGGAATATGGAGAACAGGGCAGTGTTGTGCACAGAAATGAACTGTCCCTCTCATGTGTTGCAGAGCTTCAGAGCTGGGCAGCCCAAATTCCAGGCCAGCTCTGCTACTTAACTGAGTGAACCTTAACAAGCCATGTAACATCTTTAGAACCTTGGTTTTCTCATCTGTTAAGTGGGGATAACAACAATATTTCACAGATGAGAATATATGGGGTAAAAATATTTCATAAACTGCAAAATACCATGCAGATATTAGTATCTTTGTTGTTCCTATTGTTCTTATCTTTAGTTTTACAGGGCTTGGTTCTTCTCAGAACACTTTCCCAATACTTTCTTAAGGCTGACAAAAAAGACAGGGCCTTATTTTTTGTTAATTCTAGGGCAGGCTTTTGCCATTCCACTGTAGTCCATCCAGAAGGGGAAACAGTTAAGTAGGCAACGTAGAAGAACAGGGGAGGGTGTGAAGTCTTCAACTCATCTTCAGCATTACCCACTGCTCCAGAAAGCAGAGGAAATGAAACTTATCTGGAAAGAAAATGCTGGCACAGGATAGGGGGAGAGCCCTCCTGTCGTCTCTGGAATTGAGCACAGGAAACCCCACCCTGAGGCCTACCTTTCAGAAGTGGCCCCGGAGAGGTAACCACAACCAGGCCCTAAAATTATGCCATCCGGAAATTCTGACTCATTTGGCAGTAGGGGCTGTTTGTGCAGCACCACAAAATGTCTCCCAAAAAGTGAAATTCTTACTGCTTTTTCCCCACGTGTGTTCCCTGCACCACTCACAGGGAAGCAGGGGCTGATTTAATAAGCCTGGGGAAACGTCTTGGGTCTGTTTCACATTTGCAGTTGATTAGCCGTTTTCAACAGGGATCCTGTACCAGTCTGATTTGGTAGGTGTGATCCTTAGCTGTTTGTGTGTTTGGTCCCCGCAGGAAGCATAGAACAAAAGCTAGAATGACTCTTATGGCTTATCTGACTCCTTGTTGTAGGAATGGGTAAATTGAGGCAAGAGGGCAGAAAGGAGGGGCCGTGCCCAGGGTCCCTGGGTGGTAATTGGTGTTCTGGACATTTATGTTCCCATTTCTCTGCCCCTAGCCTGGCTTTCTTTCCCCTTAGTGATGACTTAAATAAGTGCTATTGGCTAAGCAGAGATGAAAAACTCACACTGGGGTGGCCGTTTCTAGGGTGCTTCATCAGACAAGTCCTGATCCGGGCGTGGAGACTGGCTCTCCTCCTGGCTCTGCTTTCAGCTTCTTTCTTTATTTTCTTTTTTTGCCAGTTCTCCAAGAGTGAGTCTGTTCCACTCCAGGTTGCCATGTGCTTGCAGGGTGAGCACATCCACCAGCCCGGTTAGTGGTGAGGAGGATGCCTTCCCCCTGGCCGTGGCCACCCAGTGACTGAGCCGGGCCACCACTGCTGCAGGGCCAATGAGCTGCCTCAGACGCAAAGTATGGGAAGCAGAGTCATTCAACATATTCCTCTAGACACACGAATTGTGCTGCTTTTTGTAAAATAAAAATATGAAGTGTGTTGGAAGCATAGGACCAGATCCTGGGAAGACTGGGTTCCCATCCTTGTTAATGCCGCTAATTAGCTGTGTAACTGTGGGTCACTTCTGAGTTTCTGAATCTGAGAAATGAGAGAATTGGCAGAGATCATTTGTAAGTTCCTCCTCCCAATTTTAGAAACGATGTAAATCTTGATTGTGTTAGACAATAACATCATTTAGCATGACTAAACGTTGGTCTACTCCACAGAATAAGTACTAACAGACGCAAAAAGTTAAGGTGCAATCAACAAACTTCACTCCTAAAAAATAAAGTCCTTCTAAAAGAGGCTTTCTCCTATCAGTGGTCAACCCAATTGACTCTTTCTTTTGCAAAAATTAAACATTTGCTTCTGAGACAATTGTAGATTATGTAGTTGAAATAAATTACATGGCAAGATCCCCTGTACCTTCTACCCAGTTTTTTCCAATGGTACCTAAGTTTGCAAAACTATATAATATCACAACTAGATACTGACACTCAGGCCTTCAAGATACAGAGCCATTTCCATCACTGCAAAGAGCCCTCTGCTGTTCCCACCCTTGCTCTGATCTCCTCCCAACCCTTGCCAGGCATTACTCTGTTCCCATTTCTACAATTTTGCTGTTTCAAGAATATAAATAGAATCATAAAGTATGTAACCTTTGAGGATTGGCCATTTTCACTCAGCATAATTCACTGGTGATTCAACCAGGTTGTTGCTGTGTCAAGTTCACACCTCTTTATTGCTGAGTAGTATTCCACAGTATGAACAGACCAGGTTTGTCTAGCCATTTACTTGCTGAAGGACAACTGGGTTTTTCCAGTTTGGGGCTATGATAAGTAACACATTTAGTGCTTTTATTTATATTTAGTTATATATAAACCTTTAGTACAAGTTTTTGTGTCAACATGTCTTCACACTTTTAAGTTTTAACTATTGGTTATTGTGCTTATATTACCACACCCTCAGTTTTTTCCCTACTTATTTATAGTGATACCACACTCCAAGGATGTGTAAGTGTTTAGTAATTGCCCGAGACTGGGCCGTGAATTGTGGAAATCCAACAAAAGCAAGCTACATGCCTACCATCAGGAATTTACAATCTACGGGACAAGCAATATTAAGATGGAAATACTGAACTCACACTGAAATTACAAGACGACACTGAATGTCATCGAATGCTAGACTGCGCGGCACAGAACTCACCCTTAGAGGAACCCAGAAAGAGGACAGAGGTGTGAAGGCTGAAGTGTCTAAGAAAAGGCATTCTGGATAAGGCAGAATGTGAGCGCACAGTCTGGAATGTTGGAGAATAATAATGATATTTGACATTTATTAAAATATACTAACTTATTTATTCTTATACTAACATATTTAATCCTCAACCCCACCTTTCAGGGTAGCTACTATTATTATCCAATTTTACGAATGAGGGAACAGAAAGAGTAATAATTTGCCTGACGTCACACAGCTATCATGTGACTGATTTAGGACACAAAGCCAGGTACTCTGGCCTCAGCCCACACTCTTAATGGCTACATATTCTGTCTGGTAGCCATAGCTGAGGACCATTTTCTGGTCATGATTAGATTCCAATCCATTTCTTCAGTTATGTTTTTACACAGAGCTATGTGGAACCCAGAATGTTAAACTCTGGCTTCATTAATGTCAAGTGTTTCTTATTTAAGGTTATTGATGAGCAATTAAGGGACTTTTCAAAGAACAGTGCCAGCTCTAGTAACTGGTGAGAAGTCTGCACGTGAGGTATGTGCTGGGATAAACGGAGCAGCAGCTGGGAAGTCTGGTGTGTGTGTGTGTGTGTGTGTGTGTGTAAACAGCAGGGCTGAACCCTGAACTCTCTGGTTATGTTGATTATGCAGCAAGAAAAACGTCAGAGTCCCAACTTCATATAAACCATTAACACACAGGGCAGGCTGAGCCCATTTCAGATAATGACTGTGGTTTTGTGTTCTCTGAATTGCTGGGCACTTGGGAAGTCACATCCACGCTCTGCTCTTTCTTCAGTTGCTAAACACGTAAGATGTGCAATTATTCTTGTCACAGGGGTGGCTGCCCTCGCCCTCCCAGCTTCATCAGTTTGATTTCAACACATCATACTAGGAACCTGGCTTATTTGCTTTTGATCTGAAACCGAAATGCAGCCTTGATGATGTGAGTGTTGCCTGTGCTGGGGTGGGTTGGCAGGGTGAAAAGCCCATTGGATGAAAATCTCCTGACGTGGTGTGTCTCCGGGCTCTGCTTCCCCCAGCTGCCGAGAGCCACGCCCAAGTCCCCACACCCAGAAATGGGGCCACTTCCAGCCCGTCTTCCCTGCCGGAGCTGTCATGAGGATCACAGAGAACAAGGATGATCAGAATGTACTACGAACGTAAAGTTCTGTGCAAACATACGCTCCTCGGGGAAATTAAATCCTCTGATTACTATGCTTGCAAACAAGACTTCACGACAGAGAGCAACTCATGAAGAGGCTGTCAGGAAGGCTTCTCCACTGAGGAGGAAGAGAAATCGTTTACTGTTTTGCTCCTTGGAGACATGTTTTTGAAATCTGCTGAAGTGTTCTCTCCTTGCTCTGGCAGGCGGGGCTGCTGTGAGCATGTGATAATATTAGAAGCGCCGTGTGATAGGCAGTGTGCCCAGAAGCCGGGGAGGCCTCTAGCACCGCCTGGCAGACACACAGAGGCGTGGCCTTGACAATGAGTTAAGGGAGTGGAACTCGGGCAGGGCATGTGTGCCACCCCTGCATTGACAGGAGAGCAGACAAGGTTGTGTTCTTTGGGGAAGCCCACACTTGGGGTGAGGTACACCCCTTTAGTGGATTTGCAGGGGCTTGTGTCAAACAGGTCCATGAGTCCATAAGACACCTGTTGATCTTAATGACAATTCTTGAACGGCCCAAGACATTTCCCAGCAGAGAAGACCGTTTCACTGCAGGAGCCTCCCTCCACCAAACCTTAGAGTCTTGCTGCAAACAGCTGGCCCCAGACACCCACACGACCTTGCACATGTCGACCTCGCATCACCCGGCCTGGGATTCTAAAGACCTTTCATCCCACATCTTTTCTTTGAGGGAGAGTTGGGATGCAGAGAAAACTGGCAATGGCCCCTGCATGCACCTCTTGGCTAATTAAAAAAGCCATATTCAGCAAACAAGCAACCCCCATAAACAGGTAAGAGAGAAGGCAGCCACACGTCCTGCCAGTTTCAGCAGTCGAGACTGTGTCATCACCCAAACGAACCCAAACTGCAGTGTCTGTGTGCTTGTGTCACTGGTGAAGGTGGAGAAAAGGACTGGACCTAGTCTGCTCAGTTTATAAACTCTCAGTTGGCCTCAAACACACAAAATTAACAGCCAGAGGACACCAAGGTCATGGAGCAAGGCGACAGCTGGACCCCAACCCAGCACTGCGCAAAGCCAGGCGACGCTCCGACGCTTCCTGGGCCTCTGTGGCTCCACACGTCCTGCTCCAGGCCCCGTCTCCTGGAAGCACTCACTGCCGTCTCTCCTCTGGCCTCCTTTTCTGTCTTCACAGTCTGTCCCTCCCTAACTGCCTAAATTCTCCAGATTTCTTCTCTGTTTTCTTCTTTTTCTCCTTCTCCCTGCCCAACTTGCTTTGATTCAGGTGCAGACCTGAAGAAGCAATAATCTGAATAATCGCCCCCTACGTTACAGATATAACCTGATGATTTAGGATTCCTTGAAACTCAGAATGTGCACGAGTAACCCTTCATCCTCCTTCCCCCTTCCCGAATTTCCCGCCTCAGCAAGTAGGAGCTACGTGGCTAAGCCAGCAACCTGGAAAGAGCTGGAGTCCGTCTCTTCTTCCCAGCCCTCTCCCCACATCCGGCCAGCCATCAGACGCTGTCAGTCCTACCTTCAAAGTCTGCTTGCCCAGGAGCCCTTCGCTCCCCAATGGCACCCAGAGGCCCGGCATAGTTCCACGGGAGGGGACCCAACCGCAGCCTCGCGCCCTGCCTCCCTGTCAGCCTCAGCCGCCTCCAGTTCATCCTGAACCACCCTGCTGGCTCATCTCCTCTCAAGCATCCTGCCACCTACACGCTCTCTGTGACCTTCCTTCATCCCAAGGATGAAATCCTAAGGCCCTCAGCTGTGTCCACATGTGCACATTTCTAAAGAAACTCCCTGCATTCCCCCACAGAGCGCCTGGGCCACAGGGCCTTTGCCCTGGTTGTATCCTCTTCCTGGAACGTCCTTCCTTAGTAAATAGCCGCTCTTTACCCTTCTTTCAACACTCTGTTCAAATGCCACGCCCTCTGCTAAGCTTCCTCTGACCCAAGGCCCTGGCTGGCTGGCCTCAGCCTCCCAGCCCACGGCTCTCCGGTGTGTCCTAACGTTCTCACACTCCCCATCCTGAGGCTGAGGTCCTCCGAGGGGCAGTGCCTTCCCACTCCGTGTCCTGCTTAGCGCGGAGCTCGGGGGTTCTCCATTGGTCCATGGTTTCTTCACCTCCTATAGATAGCATCAGGGGGTTGCTCCTATCTGCTAAATAGGAAATTTTAATTAGCCAGCAGATGCATTTAGTGGCACTAAACACTATGAGTTTCACGTGGTAAGGGATTTGAGATACTGTCCTGTACCATTCACCATGCTCCTCATTCAGGGATGATGCATTGAGCACACACTAAGTGCTGGGTATCGTGCTAAGGACCAGGGGCAGAAAATGAATTCTGTAGAACTAGAAGGTGACGGTCTGCTGGCAGGGGAAGAGCATATAAAATAAAATGGTGATACATACAAAACCCCCCGAAAAGGGTTTTGGTCCTCAACAGCAGCTGCAGTAGGGCTGGGGGTAGGCAGTGCAGTGGTGATATTCTTCAGCGCCTCTGTACATCCTGGATAGAACACCACAACAGCAAGCACTGACTTGCCTTATGGATGGCTGTCTCCAGGCCTAATATTAGTGGAGCTTTCTCAAGCCCCGCATTTCGTTCACACTATTGAGAAAAACCCAATTTATGTCAATGTCATTCAATCCCTCACCACCTAATTTAATCTAGCATTTTTTAGTTGCTTACCATGGACTAATGAGGTTCATAAGAGAGGTAGAATAGAGTTGTTTATTTGGCATAATGAGGGAAGAAAGCATTCCTCCGAGATCTATTTTTTAACATAACTCCTTTAAGCCATGTGTGTGTGTTTTTTGTTGGCAATCTAATATATACTACGTTTCCAAAGCATGTGGAATACAATTTCCTTTTCTTGATGACTTGGAATTATTATATAAGGTTCTAATGCTTAAGAAATATTGACATGCGAGGGCTGTTTGCTTCTGCCTATATCAGATGCTCCCAGAATACTGCTTTAAAAACAAAAAAATCCCAGAGTATCTGCTTCTTAATTTTCTAAATCTGTTTACATGTTAGTCTTTGCATCTCCCTGCTTTAGTGTTGGCCTTTCAAACTTCCTGCTTCTAATCTTTTGTGGCTTATTAGAAAACTAAGCAAGTTAGCCGTTTCCTAAAATAAGAACAAGCCTTGGGTAAGAATTGAGACTCTTTCTACAATCAGGCAAGCTGATTGATTCTCAGACATTCTATCTTACAGGGACCGCAGATACGTAATGGGTCTCACTGACCCTGCTTCCTAAGTAAGTGGCTTAGTGCCCCCTAGCGGCCTTGCAGGGTAAAGGCAGAGACTCTCCAAAGTGCCTCCAGTTTCTCAAAACACATAATTTTGAAAGATGATTTTTAACACAAGTAAAAATTCCTTCATGTAAGAAGACATTATTGTCCCCAGCCAGCCAGCAGTAGATGTGAATTATCACAGGGCAGCAGCTGCATGGTATGAAGAGAGATGAACCAATGGGAATATCTCACCAACTGGACCAACACGTACACTTGGAGCCACACTGACACAGGCTACATAGGAAGAGAAAACACCAGGTCACTGGGGAAGCAGGCCGGAAAATACACCACCTTCTTCTCCTCTTGGTCACTCAATTTTGCAAGTAAGGTCTATACAAAGTCCTCTCCCACCCTTTTTTTTTTTACAGAGTAAAATTAGTTTATAATAGAGTTTTTTATTAAAACTCTGAAACTCTGGCTTACATAAATTTGGTATCGGTTAATTATACCTCAGTAGGTTACACATTCAAGAAAGTGTAAAGTTTAGAGTTAATTGGGATTTTCTGGCCATAAAAGCAGAACAAATATTTAATTTTTTAATGCAATATTTAGTATCTCCTGGCCTTTCCAAACCGCTGCCCCTCTTCACGAAGCTTGGGTGAATTTCTTATCTTTTGTTAGATCAATTTTTGAAGAAGCCTGGAGCAATAGATTTGCATGATGGCAAGATTTAACTTTGGAATCATGAAATTATTAAGGCTGAAAGGTTGAAGCACTAAGTGAAATTCTGAGTCATCATGAAGAGCATTTATGGCCTTGGCAACACAACTTAGCAATCATTCAAAAGAGGACAATAACATGTTCTAAGTATTCATTTGGCTGCAAACTCAGTAAACACCAGGGGCAAACATAAACTACCACTAACGGATACATTTTCTTAACAGGTTTGACACATGATTGGCTCCTTGTTGTTTATATTCTGTGGTCCAGGCACCTTTTCAGAAGTTGTTGGAATAAAGTAACAGTTTGAGTTATGGAAACTCTTTTGCTGGTCAAACACATAATGCAAAACAAAACCTTTCATTCCACAGAGAGTTGAGGGAAAGTCAATTCTTTCATCACCTTTAATCAAACCTTACCATGTTATATGATTACAACTTAATTCTTATTATCACCTTAGGAGATAAGATCTGAATAAAGTAAGGTTCTCAACACAACAAAGTCCAGCAGGTGTCTGATTTTAAATGCCTGGGAGTTTCTGTCCTCTATGCAAAAAAGCAGCAGGGACAAAAGAGAACAGATCTTCCAGAAGTGAAAAGCTATGGCTTCTATTTTTTTTTAAATTGGATTTCTGGATTGAAATTGCTATCATTTTAGTTTCACAAAGTATAAAAAGTACATCTATATACTGTATACACAAATGCAAAGCCAGCAAAGATAATTCAGGAATATTTAATTTTCTGTGGGACTTGCTGGTAATGCTATGATTTGGCAGTAGGACTTTAAGAAGTGCTGTGGAAGTACCAAAACTTAAAAGAGAGGAACCCAAAGTGCTCAAGCCTGTCAAAAAGATGTTAGAAACAAATATCGGAAAGAGGATATAATTTGGGAACCAAAATGTCTGAGAACCATTATCTTAGGATCAATGTAAATGAATTCATGTCCATGAAACCTGAAGAACAAAATAGTTTGCTATGCATGCAAGATGATATTGTTTGGGGGGGCAAATGTTTAGGAGCTGAGAAAGAGAGTACAGATTCCTTCAGACCCTGCAGCCCTTATATAAAGACATCTTGAAATAGGCATAACCCTTTGCAGACCTAACAAGTACATTTTTCACAAACCCAGGAAGGGGAAAATAAGGGGGGTGGAAAATTCCATGAAGAGTCAAAAAGAACTCTTGAGCTTAGGACTGGCACCCAAGCCTCCCACCTCTATATTCCAAACCCCAGAACAGATACAGGTTGTGCTGGGCATCTAGGCTTTTCATAAATGCTTCTTGGGAGATCCATTTCCACCTCCATCTTCCATGGTCTGTTCTAGACTGAACTAACCCAATTTACACCATTTCTCTTCATTTTACCCAGATAAGGAGAGCAGGAGAGTGGAAGTGGGCCCTTCATGTGTCTAGGCTGAGCCCACATGATAAGGGAAACAGCGATTAGCAGAACTGAGCCACTCCCACGGCCAGAGAAGTATTTATTACAACAGCTGTCTTGTCAGATAGATGTAGTAAAAATCCAAAAGGCATTTCTATCTTTGTATTAGGGATTAGCAAAAATTCTCGGAGGGTTGGGCATTGCCTTGGTTTCACACACATATTATTTTTAGGGTAGTTGGGGAATCAACCAGGGTTGCAGTGATGCCCTAAAGCTACTGGATAATAGGTAAGCGCACAAGAGAAAGCTTCAGGTTCCAGCTCAGGTCTCTGGTATTCTGTGTTTCAAATGCTATTTTAGCTCAGGAATGTTTAGAGGCTCAACCGCTTGGGCAACCCAAGCAGCCACTTTTCTCTTAAAATGACCAATTTGGACCTAAACGATTCTCTATCACATATCCTATGCACAGAAACACACCCTCTTTGCTAGAATGCATTACAGATTTTAAGACAGAAGTCAAGCTTGGGAAACACTGACATGCTGAGGGTTCAAGTAAAACATTGTCTTAGGCTCAATAATCCTCTTCATTTAGGGTTAATATACACAAAGAAACTATCTCAAATCTTCAAGGTTTTTAACTACGGATTCAATGGTGAATTTGCTTCTGAAGGTGTAGGTGGAAAGGAAGAATTTTACCAAATGTAGTAAAGCATTATCTATAAATAAGCACAGGAAACAAAAATATTTTTAGGATGTCTAAGCATATTTACATGGCATGAATATTTAGGTTGGGGCCTAATTTAATGTTATGACCCAAATCCCAGGATTCTCTTAAGTTTCTGTGTACTTCCACCCTCACCTCCCCATTAATATTCACATGGGAGAAATCATGAACCAATAAAAGATTGACTTATCTGTTAAAAACAGCCAAATACGTTTGAGCATCACTGCAGGTTTCTGACAACTACGTTTAAGAAGTGTATTTTTGTCATGCTTTCATTACAGAATTTCTACAGAGAAACCTCAAAATTAATATGCTGAATCATATATGAGTTTGATGCTTTGGAAGAAACATTTTGAATACTATTTTCTTCACTTCTTTAAATCACTGATGTTTGGTGCCAATACTCCAAGAGTGGTTTTAAAGCAAAGATATAAAAAGGAGTATGTTCAACAAATAGGACATCTTGTATCTGTGGTTTGCTTTACTAAAAACTTAAATTTAGATGTATTGTTTCAATTTCTTTGGTTTGGATACATGATTTATTGCCTTGCCCTTGACCATGCTATCAAAGGCACCCCAGTGAGCTCCCTGAAAGGGCACCGACCTGCTTTCTCATCTCTTTACATCTCATGTGTGTTCACTCATACCCTACTACACCCAGAAACTCTAAGTTTGAAAAACACAGGCTTTGTATTCTTTCTGCTTAAGGATTACTCTTCATCTGTAATGATAGAATTATTCTCTTTAGTAAAATGTTTGACAACTAAAAAACACAACTACTCTTGTGAAGTCACTATTACACACGGAGCAAGAGATATGCCAGTCCTCCTTACTGCTCCATGTCTGCATCCTCAGAAATTAAGTGTGCAAATTTTCCCTATTCCAGTCAACACAACAGCAGATTAGACAGTTTAAAGTAGGCAATCAGCACTTTGGGTTTTCAGGAACAAACGGCCAATATTTATTCCAAAAAGGTGTTAGTACAATGTAAGCACGACTAAAAAGTAGGTGATCTTGGAAATGATATATTCTCTACTGTTGGGCTTCTGAAACAACAGTTATGCGTCAGCATCACAGCATTGCATATATGTTTCTGTTCATGATGCTTGTTCCTCTGATATACCTGGAATCAATGAATCTGGGGGAAAAAAGAAGAATTCTTTAAGAAGCTGATCAATTTTGGGTTCCACATCAGAAAACGACCAAACATCAAGAACATCAATGGAGATGAAATAAGTAGGTCACTGAGGAGTATTTCTGAATAATGTCTTGGGTTTATTTTCAGTTTGTCAGGCTCAAGTTTTGTGCTGAGTGACTGTAAGATCCGCTTGATGACAGCATGTATGTTTATTTTCTGATTTAAAATTTGAGTACCTCCAAAGCATAAACAGGTCCATAAACAGGTCACCTCCAGCAACAATCTTTTGAAGGTTTTTTAAGAAGTAATTTGTAGCAGTACTTAGTGTCCAACAGAAACCACTCCATCTGTTAAACAATATCTCGACTGCAAAGCTTCTCTTACTGTTGGTAAATAGATAATGACATGGCACAGTCATTACCACCGTGGCAACAGTACCCAGGAACTATCAGAGGAAAATTGCACATCGAACCGCTGGCTCTTGAGCAGTCATGCCTCAGCTTCCTCTGGAGTATGCTTTTTCTGCAAGTCTGGTGTGCTCTAGGGTACCACCAACCCAGTGCAGCTCCAAGACTACAGATAATGCAGCCATTTCACTAAGCCCAGCTCTTCCAGGCACTGTTCTAGGTATGGAGGACACAGGAGTGAATTTAATCGAGTGCCTGGGAGGAATGTCAATAACCCAACCAATAAATGCATGCATGTCAAGGTGTAGAAAGTACAGTGGAGAATGGAGAAAGCAATGCGCCTAGGAAGGCTTTTTCTCCTGTACCCTGCTTCAGTGCACCTGCTTTTTCTCACGCTACTAGGTTTGGGCACCAGGTCTGTCTCGAGATCACGGGGGGGCACCGGCCCTAGCACGCAGCAGCTGCTTAGAAAACGGTTCTCGAACGAACCAATTCCCTTCGTAGCTCCCCATTCAACAAAACTTTCCTGGACCTAAATCCATGGGCTTAAGTGGGGTGGAAAGTCAGCGAAGCCCCAACCCCTGAGGGGATCATACAGATGAAAACGCTTTACAAACTTCTAAAATAAAAGTCGTTTTGGGAAAATAATCTCATAGCAGAGGCAGGAGCCATGGGGCGGCCTGGGCCTCTGCTCCCACGTACGCGCAAGGCCGAGGGAGGGCCCAGCCACGTGGCCTGGGCCCCGGAGCCCCAGGCAGGCCTGGCCGCTAGTGCCCCGCCCGGCCCCCGCTCCCGCCACGAACCGCCGCAGCCGGCCGCCGCCTAAGGGAGGCGCGAGGGTCGCTCACCTCAGCTGGGAACGGCGGACTCAGGCCTGCTCCAGCCGGGCCACCGGCCCAAGGCCCGAACCTGACGCCAGCCAACTGCGTTGCCCTGGCAACTCAGCTATCTCCTAACACAGGAACCGGAACCTTCTTCTGGAAGTGACTCCTTCCCAGCGTTCCGCGGAACGGCCAAACACCGCCCAGAGCCTCTCCCAGTCATCTCGAGTATCCCAGCAGCCCCGACTACCCTCCGCAGGGAAGTCGTCCTCCCCCTAGTTTCGCCTCTCCTTGCCTCTGGGCCGGCCCTGATGGACATCCACTCTCTCCAATCAACTGACAAAGCGGTTGTTGATGGCCAACAGTAAGGCTGTAGGTTGAGGGGCAGGAGTAAGGACCACCTCCAACCTGTTGGGGAGGGATGAGTAACCTGATTGGTAGAGCTGAGTAATTGCGGGCCAATATTCTCCAATCACAAAGAGCAGTTCGGAGCCGGCCCAATGAGGGCCTCCGTGGGGCGGTCCGAGCCGGAGCGCCGCAGGCCAGGGGAAGGCTGCGAGTGGTGAGCCGCGGTCCCCGGTTATTGCGGGGTCCGGCGAGCTGCAGGGATGACTAGCTCCCTGCGCGGGGCGGCAGCGGCTCTGCTCCGCTGGGGCCGCGGCGCGGGTGGCGGCGGAGGCCTGCGGGGCCCGGCCGTGCGGGCGGCGGGCTCGGACTCGGGCGCGGGCAGTGGCGGAGGGTCGGCGGAGCAGCTGGACGTGCTAGTGAAGAAGGACAAGGTGGTGGTCTTCCTCAAGGGGACGCCGGAGCAGCCCCAGTGCGGCTTCAGCAACGCCGTGGTGCAGATCCTGCGGCTGCATGGCGTCCGCGACTACGCGGCCTACAACGTGCTGGACGACCCCCAGATGCGGCAAGGTCAGCGCCCTGCGGGGGTGCGGGGCGACGGCCTTGCGGGGCCGGGGGTCTGTTGCGCAGGTCTGCCCGGGGACTCCGGCCGAGTTGGGGCACGGATTACTACTCTGACTAGGGGCCTGGGGTGGGGCGTGGTGGACTTGGACTAGGTCCTGAGGATCTGGGGCTCTGGAGCTGTGGCCAGTAGGGGAAGCCCTGGCAGGTCACCGGTCCTCACGCACAGCTGAAGTAGGCGAGCTCTCCGAGGCTCAGTTAGCTGAGAGCGATCAGCAGCCTGGCACCCAGCTCTGCAGGGTTTGGGAAGTGGGGCAAAGAGGGCGCAGTAAGAACCACTAGGAGGTGGGCATTTTAGGGGACACTTTGAGCGGGTAGGCCTGGCTTCTGGAGAAGGAGCTGGTGCTGTCCATGGTCGGGGAGGGCCGAGGTTGCCCTTGATTGAGACTAGTGGGGTCAGAAGCTGGCCTCCTGTACTTCAAGTCTCGGTGTTAGGGACCGTCCTCGCTTGTTGCTACAAGTTGGGTGCTGACACAGCTTTTGGCCTGATCTTAGTTGAGATCTTGTGGAATGGGAGAAACAAGCGTATTTGTTTTAGATACTCAAAGGGCGGGGGGCCGGGGACTGTTGTAGGAGCCTGGCTTGGAGAGGCTTGTGGGGAGAGAGACAAGGAATGACTCCTGAGTCCTGGCTTGGGACTCCAGGGGCCAGGGATGAGTCAAGCCTGGGGCCAGAGGCAGCGGGGCCCGCGTCGTGTCGTTTCACTGGCTCAAGCGAGAGGAGGGTGGGTCCTGACAGCATCTTTTCTGCTGAGCGCCTTGCAGGGCTCCTGACGTGCATTCTCCCATTTTATCTGAGTGAGGGAAGAGGAGGAGGCCCCAAGAGTGCGTGGGTCTGCCCCCTGGCTAGGGTTGGTCGGGGTTGGTGGAGAAGAGGGGCGGCTGAGCCTGTACCTCCTGAAGGGTGGCTTAGGTACCCCGCGCGCCGATTAGAGACCTTTGATCAGCTGAGTCCCTCTCAAAACCTCTTCCTATTGTTTAGTCACAGTATTCTAAAAGTCTTAAAGCACCAGGTTTTGTTATTCTACATTTGGAATTCTACATTTTGTTCACTCTACACCCCTACGTTGATGAGATGGGCTGGTGTAGAGCAGAGGCTTTGGATTGGAATCCTGTGTTCAATCAGCTGTGCAACATGAAACAAGTCACATAATTGCATTTTCCTTTTTGGTAATAGAAGGGTAATGAAACCAAACTTGGCCAAATTTTTGTGAGGAAAAAGGAAATAAAACTTTTAGAAAGTGCCTATCACTTTATCTGGTACACAGAGGGCACCCATTAAATGGTAGCTATTCTATTACTAGCACTTTATGGTTCTCAAAGTATTTTTTCCACATTATCGAATCCTTACAAGACTCTTGGTTGTGGTACGTGGAAATACGGAAGAGGAGAAAGCAGGTTAACATCACCAGGTATATGTATTACTGTGTCTTAAGCTCAAGATCCTTCTGCCTTCCTGGCCTACTGGAATGCCACCAGTTTGCTAGGCCCTGGTTGTTTTTTTTTTATACAGCCGTGTCTGCATTCTTCAGCCCTCAGCAGCTGCCTCTCTGCTTACAAGATAAGATAGGAGAAACTACTCTACAATCTCAGATAGGACCTTGCCACAGATCCCCTGCAAATTGCTAGCTAGTATGGCCGTTAGAAAAGGTTGTGTCATTGTTATCTTTTGTAGTGTTAAGTTTTGAGGGTTTTTGGTTTGTGAATTCCTGCTCTTCTATTTAATATCACGGGAGACGGGACATGCTGAAATATAGCTGATCAACTCAAAGTGGGAGCAAAAATAAGAAGGTTCACTCATAGCACTTAGGTTTCTGTCTTCCATCTTGTATGCCTGGCCTCAAAACTTATTTATGTTCTACAGTGTCCACATGACTGCAACAGGATTTAACTCTCAAATCTCTTGACCATGGAGTTTCATCAGATTGTTGTTTTGGTTAATAAAACACATTGTATTATATATTGAACATAACACACACCTCTTTTGTTGCTTAGGAAAGTAAACTTTTATGTCAGTATTAATATTCAGACTGGGGTAGGCTGGTGTAAGCATGTTGTCATAATGAGGTTTAGTTTAGCGGGGGTAAGATTTAAAACATTAAAACTCATCATCTCCTCTGCTGTCTACACTTTTGATTTTATTAAGAAAGACTGACAAGCTGTCTGATGCTTGCTTTTGCTGGCCAAAGTCAAGTCTACGCCTTTCCCAGACACAAGGTCACTTCTAGTTAACAGGAGAGGGCCTCCAGCAACATTGGCCTTTCCTTTTGTCTTGGGCCAAAGAAGGCTGAGCTTTACAAGGACCCATGCCATGGGAAGACCCTCACATGCCGTTTCCTCCTCCTGGGCACGGGGTCCAGGGAGTGTGATCCAGAGAAGTCTCCATGTGTGACCCAAGAAACAGGTGACTGAGGCAGTGTCGTGCTTTGGTCTCCTCGGGTCTTTTCCTTCTCCTTTTTATCTGTGTACATGCAGAAGACAGCCACACAGGGGTCTGGTCCCAGTAGACAGTTGTCACCATATCCTAATCCTGGTCTTAATAAAAAATATCCTTTATTTTCCATTGTAAAAGTAATATGTGCTCATTGAAGGAAGTTGGAAACACTAAAAATATAAAAACCAAAGTCAGTCATATTCCGTATAAACCATTATTAATGTTTGGATCTAGTTTCTATTTTTATAAATTTTTAACACGTTGGAGATCGTGCATGTTTGTCCGTATAGTATTTTACCTTCCTGAGAGCAGGCAACGTGTCTTATGCCGCTGCCTGAGCACTCTGTGTATTGTTTATGCAGAGAAAGCTTTCAATGAATGTTTTAATGAAGAAGTAAATGCTTTTCTTACTTATCATATCATAAACCCTCTTCCACACTCTTAAAAACGTTATAAACGCACTTGAACTTCTGCCCGTTCATATCAGGCAGGTGTAGCTTCCAAACTTATTAATGTTCTTGTAAGTCCGGGGAAAGGATGTCCCGGGGCAAAATACCTCGAAAAACCGCAGTCAGTCAAGAGGGAGAAATAAAATTTAAAACCCGTTTACTGCTTACAAACTGCAGTCCAGCGCCGTCTCTTTCCCCTGGTCTGGAAGGAAGCAAGCCAGCCTCTCCCCTTAAACTCTCAGGTTCAGACCTGCCCTCGTTGCCCCGTAATTACCCATGGATATGGAGATGAACTTCTCTCCACCCCTGAGGATATGCACATGACTAAAGCCAGGCGAGATACTCTGGAAATGTTACAGTTTCACCCACAGTTCTTAAGTGTTCAAACAACTGCAACAGAAATTTAACTCTTTAATTTCTTGACCATGTAGTTTCATCAGATTGTATTTTGCTTGATAAACACATTGCATCTATGTTGAACATAATACACCTCTTTTGTTGCTTCAGAGCAGATGTATCTTTGCATCAGGAGCAGTGTTTGTTGAATGAATAACCATTATCATGTTGTTGAATGTTTTTGAAGTATTTGAAAATATGCTTGGCCTTTCCAGTATCAAGGAATTTAACTTAAGGCAATAGTAAACAACCTATGCTGCTGGCTAGTGTTAAAAGTCAGATAACAAGTTGTGTGTGTGTGTTTGTGTGGAGGGTTGCCATACGCTGCAGATAGGGTATAAAATGGTACTAACATTTTGGAGGGGTACCCAGTCAAGTTGAAGGTGAACACAACTGAAGACCCAGCTGCCTCCCTCCTGGGCATATAGTCTAGAGCAGGCGTCGGCAAACTTCACTTAAAGGGCCAGAGAGTAAATGCTTAAGTCTTTGTGGACCGTGCTGTTTCTGTCGTGCTCGCTGTTCAGCTGTGCTGTGGTAACATGAAATAGGCAGCAATGATATGTGAACGAATGAGCATGGCTGAGTTCCAGTAAAACTTTATTGACAAAAAACAAAATGGACCAGATTTGGCCTGAGTTTGCCAGCCCTGCCTTGGAGAGACAGATCCCTGCCCTTGAGTGAGGAGACATGCAGAAGGGTGTTCACTGCAGCACTGCTGGTAATAATGAAAAATCAGCTAGGAGGAGTCTGGGTCCATTGTCAGACTGGGTGAACAAATGGTAGTGTAGTCATATAATGGAAAACTAAGTTGTGGTTAAAGTGGATTTGAACTAGAGCTGTTTAATATGACTAAATCTGAAAGAAAAATACAATGTTGTATGTAGTGAAAAAGTAAGTTGCTAAAAGGTAATTGTGGCTGAATGCCATTTGTGTATGCAAATGTAAAAATGTGGCACACTGCCATGGAGTGCAGATACATGTGCAGCTCAAGTGTAGCTTATGGGCAGGTATGACAGATGCCAGCCCCAGGCCAGAGGCTGCCAAGGTGGTCAAGAACCTGGCCTTTGAATTCTGGCCTCCCCCAGTGCTAGCACTGTGACTTTGGTTAAGTTATTTAACTTCTCTGAGTCTTAGTTTCTTCATCTGTAAAATAGGGACAATTATACATGCCTTGTAGGATTTTTGTAAATATTAAATGAAAATTATGTATGTCAATGCTTAAAGAATATGAAACTCAGTAACCCCTTGCTCAGTAACTGGGCAATTAAGTGTGCATCACTTAAGTGGTATTTTTTCTGCCTGGGTTCCCTCTGTTTTCTCTGTTGCATGTGTTTCTCAGGAAAGCTTATCTGTGAAGGGTGGGGTGGAGGACATTTGCAGGGAGAGAAAATCCACCCTGTACCTGGCACTGGGGGAGCTTCATACATTTCACTGATTATATCCCATTCCATCTTCATAGTACATAGTACATCTGCCAGGTGTAGAGTTAACTCCCATCTCACAGGTAAGGAAACCGAGGCTAAGTGATGAGCAGCTTTAAGGCTACATTGACAAGCCAGCAAGCCATTCTTCTGACCTCTCAGCCAAAGCTTGTTCACTCTGCCACTGTGCTTTGCTTTTCCTCCGTTGGAGCTGCTCTTCTCCATGCTTTCAGCTCTAATTAGCTCATGTAGTCCTGACGTAATTTTCTAAGTTAGAGAAGGTGAAGAAATAAGAGTTTCCAGGAGGCAGCGGTGTGATTTGCCCCAGCTTGCAGAGCCTAAAAAGTGGCAGAGTTGAAATTAATTGCATTAGGCTCTGAAGCTCCTGTAGTAAAAATCTATCAGAAAAAAAGAAAGCCATAATTATGGTTATGGTGCTTTTTATAATTTATTGTTCAAATTTATTGTGAGTAAAGTCTAATGTTCTAAAGTATAGTGAATTTGAACGGTACCTTTTGACAATTCTGGAAGGGAATTTTCCAGTGTATTTTCCCCTCTCTGGCTTGTTACTTTGGATTATTAATTTATTTTGTGGGACAGTAGGTGTATGTAGAACTGGTTTTGTAAGACAGCCTCCTAGCTCCCAGTTCCTAGTGTTACCCTGTCATATAACTACCATCTACATTTTCTATCCCAAATCAAACCACTATCTATCATCTATAAAATATGATTAAAATTATAATTCATTCTTGGGTATGATTTTTTAATTTTCAAGAGTTTCTCTCTGATTCTGAGTTATTCAAGTGCTATTTGCAAGAAGTATCGCTGTGTATTAATGGTTTTTGAAAATTAAAATTGAGAGTAGTTAGTTATATTTAAATAATTAGTTGTGAATCAGTGGGATTCGTTTTAATTTTCAATTTATCAACAGTGATCTTGAAAGTTTCTTACTTCACTCTGTAGGAATCGATCAGACTTAAAAAAAAAAAGAAAAATAGCGTATTTTTAAAGAAAGATGCCAAAGCTTTGCCTTGATACTGGCTGCAGGTAACACTTGCTAATCAAAAATTAAAGGATCAGGTAAGTTTAATTTTGATTAAACTATCAGCTAGCAGGCACCTGATACTGTCACAATGTCATCATGCTCTGAGGTGGGGTTCTGCTAAGTTGTTAAAATATAAGTTATTAGTCAAGAGAGCCGCATGCCGAGGGGTGTGGAAGGAGTTAGTTTCCCTCGCACATGACTGTGTGTCCTGGGTGTTCAGCATGGTCGGAAGGCCCACTTTTTTGGTAATTTTGGTGGTATGGATCGATTGCAGTGCGTAGCCTTCTCTTCCCTGATGGTCAGGACCTGTGGTCTGAGACGAGCCCAATGCTCTGATGGAATGTGGTATTATAAAAATGACTGATGAAAGAAAGCAAATCATTCTTCTACTCAGCAAAGATTTTATTTAAAAAAAATTATGCTCCCTGGTATTCAATGTGTGGCTTTGGGTGGTAAATTTATTTTCATTTTTGGTATGTTTCAGAAATTGTAGGCACATAACCAAAAGAATCAGATATTTACTGTCATGGAAAGCTTAATACATTACTAGTTGAAAAAAACCTAGGTATATCATGCATATAAGTGGCTCTTGTACATAAATGTGAGAGATGCTTAAGATTAGAAGCATTAGAAGAAATTCACGTTCACTTCAAACATCTCTCAGTTCCCATACCCACCACCCTCAGTCATCATAAAAGCAAAGTAAGATTTGTAACTGGCATTGTTATAAAATAAGTTCTGGAAAACTGTATTTGAGGATAGACTTAAAATAAAAAAGCCCCAAACACATGATTTATAGCTAAATCATTATCTTTAGTACCAAACATCAGAATGAAAAACTTGAATTTGCCAGGGTATTCAAGTATATCTAGATATTGGTACTATAAGGACATTCTGGTGCTAATGGAATTTGTCCTTTATCAGTAACCCCCACACCTCTAGCTGATTTTTTTTTTTTAAAGACACCCAGAGTGGCTTAGAGGTACTGTTCTAGGGATGTAATGTATATAGCATGGTGACTATAGTTAATAATACTACTTTACGTATTTGAAAGTTGCTGAGAGAGTAGATATTAAAGGTTCTCATCACAAGAAAAAATATTTTCTGACTATGTATGGTGATGGATATTAACTAGACTTACTGTAGTGATTGTTGCAATGTATACAAATATTGACTCATTCTCTTGTATACCTGAAACTAATATGATGTCATGTCAGTTATACCTCAATTAAAAAAAATTTGGGAGTTGGTGGGGGGGAAGGAGTGTGCTTTTCAGGGTCTGTGACATTGTAACCATTTCTTCCTGGGTGAAATCTGGAAAACAAGATAAAGCCCTCTGCCGGGGGTGCCGCCTCTAGTGCTGCCATTTAGTGCAGAGTTGCCAGTTTTTAGAAGGTAATGACTTTTAAAAGAGAAAAGCTCATTGTATCTTGGAACTGTTAGTTACGATAGAACTCAAATTGATAACCTTATTTGGTAAATAAATGATAAGTAATAGGGTATCAAGAACCAGTTTTTGTATTTTTAGTTTTTTACATAAAAACTACCACTTGACTGATATTTTTATTTGCATATTGTTTTTGTTTGAATAATCTGTTGCCTTTTCTCTTTGATTTGAGTGCTCATTTTGGCCATTTAGAAATAATCTTTTGTAAGTAAGTATAAAAATATCATATAATTGATAGTGATTATTATATGTCATGCTTTTGACTGTCCTGTTTTTAACATGAGCAACACAGATGTTTTACTGACTGGATGTGTTTTTAAGAGGATATTCCATCCCAACACGCAAGCAGAAAAGAAAGTAGAATGGTGAGGAGTGGAGTTAGACAGAGTGGTCTGTCAGGCCTTGAGATCACAACTACATTTCTCTCCTGCTGTCTTGTAACCGTCATCCGTGTGGCCTAGAACTGAGCAGAGTCATCACATGGCTGCACGGCTGCAGACTGTGCCTCGTCCCTGTCTGTCCTCAGCTGTCTGTCCTCAGAGGCATTTGCACCCAGGACTGATCACACGGGCTGGCTGGTTTCTTGTCTGCTGTGAGCAGGGAGTGGGTCGCACTCACCCCGTGGCCCTGACCCAGGCCCAGGACATGGGCCTTAATGAGCTTTGGGCCTTTCCTTCATCTGACTCAGTAACTGCCAGTTCTGAGGTGAGCCGGGTTGCCTGCCCTGGGGAGAGCCTGTCTGAGGGATGAATAGGGTGAGGGCTACAGTGTATAGCCTTAGGAAAGGGGTTTTTCTTTGGGGAAAAGAACTATTAAAGATAAAAACAATGACTCAACATCTTGCGCCTAAGTAGCTGGTGGCATTCACCAACCCAGACAGGCACGAAGAGCATTGGGGAGAGAGCTGGCATGGCATGGCAGTGAGTTCACATGACAGGCCCGTGTTACATAGTCCTTCTGGGTCTGGTGTTGTGGCATTTCCTTTAAGTTTGTTTCACTGAAAACCTGACTGGCAGATGTGTGGAGAATGTGCTTCCTGCATCCTGGGTGGCTTAGATTAACCAGTCAAGTTCTCTGCCGTTGATCTCATGTCAGTTGTGTATCAGGTATTTTACAAGAGCCTTACCTCCCTGATTCTCATGAAAACCTTGTGGGATGAGGGTGGCAGCAGAGGATGAGGGGCTGAGTAGCTTGTCTGAGGTCTCACGGTTTGTTACCGGAAGAGGTAAGCCTTGAGCAGTGGTGTGTTTCTCGAAAGCCTTTACTCTCCCTAGCACGCACATTGTTCCCCACAGACGGGACACGGCCTGCTGCTGAGCGTGGGTAAAAACGTACTGCTGTGAAAACTTCCGCTCTGACCATTTGAATGACCTTCCAACGTTCTTTCCCTGCAGGCATTAAAGACTATTCCAACTGGCCCACCATCCCACAGGTGTACCTCAACGGCGAGTTTGTGGGGGGCTGTGACATTCTGCTGCAGATGCACCAGAACGGGGACCTGGTGGAAGAACTGAAAAAGCTGGGGATCCACTCCGCCCTTTTAGATGAAAAGAAAGACCAGGACTCCAAGTGAGGGTGGCTGGTCCTCCCGCGCGAATGCCGTACTGTTGGGAGAGGACGCTGCTGGGGTCCGAGACTCACCGCAGAAGCCTTACCGACTCTGGTTCTCACTGTTCAGCAACAGCTGCTCGCACCGATTCTTCCAGCTTGTCAGCAGTCTGGTGATTTTAGTGTGTCTGGTGTTTGGGCTAAAAATACTCTATTTTGAACTTAATTATAACCACTGCACTGTAATAATTCATTGTTGTATTATGATCTTGCTGTAAACATTTGTTCTTGGATTGCCATTTGTTCTTTGCCTTTGATTCAGGAGTAAAAGGAGCTCTGGAATCATTATTATTCATGACTCCCCTCTGTAAACGTGTCAATCTGCAAAGATAATAAACCCCCCCAAATTTTTGGTAACTTGTTCTGTTAAGAAAAATGATGGACATGGAAGAAAATGTGATTACCGGGATGTTGTTTTTTAAAATAAATTGCTAACCCAGAGATACTGTGTGTGAGCTGTTAATTCTGAATAGCAGTAAAGTCTGTGTCTGAATCTGTTTCAGTTGCTGTAACAAAATACCGCAGACCCGGTGACTTGCAAACAACAGACACATATTTCTCACAGGTCCATATTCAGGAGGATCTGCTCCTGGTTCATAGCTGTCCTCTCACTGTGTTCTCACCAGGAAGCTCTCTGGGGTCCCTTTTATAAGGGCACTAACCCCACTGATGAGGATTCCACCCCTATGACCTAATGACCTCCCAGAGGACCCCCGCAACCCCAGTGCCATCACTTTGGATGTTAGGTGTCAACATAGGAATTTTGAGACAGAGACATTTAGTTTGGAGCAGTCTGTAAGAATTTTTCGTGCTGGTGACCTTTTATTTTTATTAGGAATTAAGAGTGATTCTCATACCTTTATGTTACATTTACCACAAAAATTGCCGTCAAGCTGTGCTCTAGTTTCTCAGAGGAAGTAAGTATTGGGATCCCTGGGTGCTGTGGGTGGTCCAGGCGGAGGCTGGTGCAGACGGGAGCGGTGAGGTGTGTGAGGCCGGAGAGGCAGCCCCACTCCCCGCCTCTGAACGCCTGTGTCTGCCCGGCTGCACTGCAGTGAGATAGGGAGACATCATTAGCAGTCCTCCAGAGAATGAAATCTAATGAGTATTTTATTTCTCAAAAAATGGGGCCTTCAGCAGAAAGGAAATAATTGGGAAAACAGCAGAGATTCTTCTAGTACAGGGACACCTTGGAGACACTGCGGTTCAGTTCCAGAGCGCTGAGATAAAGCTAATACCACCATAAAGAGGGCCGAGTGTGTTAGTCCCCAGTACGTATGAAAGTTGTGCTTACTCTATACTGTAGTAAGTGTGCAAAAGCAGTATATCCAGAAAACAATGTGCATGCCTGAATTCTTCATTGCTAACTAATGCTGTCATCGGAACTGTCAGTTGTATTCGCTCAGTCACTGAGCACCATAGCAAATACACTAATGAAAACGTTTGAAGTATTGTGAGGATCACCACATGTGACCCAGAGACATAGAGTGAGCAAACGCTGTTGGGAAAATAGTGCTGATAAGATGAGCTTCACCCAGGGTTGCCACCAACCTTGAGTTTGTAAACAATGCAGTGTCTGTGAAGTGCAGTCAGGGAGAGCATAGTAAGTGAGGGGTGGCTGTGGATGGTGTCTTTTTATGAGACCTCTGTCTCTTCACCATGAGCTGCGAGGGTGGGTGGAGCTGGATGTGAGCTCACAGTGGTTCATGGTACGGAAGCCCATCTGCCTCTGTGTGGTTTGGGGGCCCAGAAGCCTTTATCCATCTCCAGGTGTGGAAACAGAGCGTCTATTTAGAATTGCTTCTTTACAGGGGCAGAGGTAAGAAGGATGCATTTAAAGGCCAAAAATGGCAGCAGGGCAGGAAGGACAACTCATTTCCTCAGAGCCATTCTAGAAGCTCACTACGTGTTGATTATTAATCTATTGAGAGCCTCTTGCAAAGACTGAAAATGGACTGACCTCTTGCAAAGGACTCTGAAAACAGGTGAGGTAAGGATTGACCTGCTGGGTCCAAGGGGTTTGGGGATTCCCAGAAGAAAGGCCAGGAGGGTGGTAGCCCTGCCCCCACTTCATTTGGGACTGTCCTGTGAGCTTGGAGGACAGCCCCTTGCTAATCACAGAACTCATGGCTTCATGTAAAAGAAAAGCAGATTATTCTCACAGAAAGGTTTTCTATTACATGGCCTACATTCCATCAGTACCTTTTGTGTCTGCTCTAAGCTAAAGGCTTACACAGACTCTTAGAGGTGTTGTAACCAACCCATGTGAGCCATTTTACTTTATGAAAGACAGTGATGACTGGAAGGAAGGTCATGTAATGACATCACCTGTGCTGCTGCCCCGCAGTTGCCGAGCCAAGGTTATGACCTTGCTCTTTGGAAAGGGTAACATTAGCAAATCACTTAGTACTGTCCCTGCGTGAATACTGGGCCAAAGGCACCCATGAGTTTGCAAAATTGTGTCACTTTTGCCTTTTCCTTAAATCTGCCCATATACCTCTAGGGTTCATCTGGAAAATGTAACGGTGAGAAACTTAGCAGCAGGGACAGTCTCTGTAAGAAACCTCGCCAGAATATTAGGACCAGGGCAGAGCTGCCAATTGGATAATTTGACTCAGAAGCTTATGAATCATAGATCATATCAGTCACGAGAGGGCTTAAAAGTTTAAGGAATCACTGAGCTCTACGAGAAATGGCAATGTTCTTTACAGAAGTTAATTAATACTCTTTCTATATGTTTAACAAGTCTACACCAAGTAGAAAATTGAAGATGCTATCTAATTTCAGTCTGAATAATTTTAATAATTTGCATAATGAAAATCCACTGTGATAATTAAAACAGTGACACCACAGTTCCGTGTGCAAATAACGATATCACACATCATCTATTTTAAAATGCAGGTTTTGTCTCACACCTTTGCTGTAGTACACTTGGCTTGTGTCATTGTGCTTTTTGGATTTTTGTCACAACATCAAAGGACTGTTATTAGACCCTTTAGAAATAGCTGATGTTATTTTAGAAGATGTGGGTAAAATTGTAACATTTCCAGAATATCTCGCCTGGCTTTAGTACATCTGCATATCAATAGGCGTTCAGAGGTGGAAAGAAGTATGGCTTTAGTTCATTTGCATCATTCCTCAGGGGTGGAGAGAAGTTCATCTCCATATAAATGAGTAATTGCCTGGGCAATGGAGGGCTTATCTGTACCTGAGAGGTGAGGGGAGGGCTGGTTTTTGGCTGCTGCTGGAGCAGGAGAGAGAGATGGGCCAGATTGCAGTTTTGTAAGCAATAAGCAGGTTTTAAACTTTATTTCCCCCATTGACTGATTTCGGTTTTTAGAGGTATTTTGCCTCGGGATTTCCTTTTCCTGGATTTACACCTGGCGCAGTCGGCAGGGTTCCTCTGAACCTGAAATCTGTTATAATGGGTGCAACCTTTGGGAAGGCTGCCCCAAGAAATGATGGGGAGAAGTGGCACTCATGCCAAGGGACGTGTGTCTACACTCGTGTGGTCATGGAGGCACCACCACCATGGCTGGCCATGCTGACCCCGGCCTGTGGCTGGAGCCTGGTCACAACTATGGAAAGGAGCAGAGGTCTGGTACATCTCAATAGAGAACCAACTGGCTGCTGTGCACCACACCTTGCTGGCTACAAGATCCCATCGCCAGAAAAGCTCCAACCAAGGTAATAACCACCTATCCCATCATGGGGTGGGTGAGAGACTGGACCCAAAGGCCATATGGTGGTGTGGCACAAACAGCTACCATATATCATGTGACTGGCCATTTGCCTTTGGCATCCCCAGGGAATAATGAAGCAGATGCATTGGCCCAGGTGCGCTAGATAAAAGGAAACCTGCCTCTGATGTGGCCCAGTAGCTACATCAGCATTTGGTGCACACGGGGCAAAAGATAATGTGGGCTGTAGCCTGTCGGTGGGGCTTGCCATTGACCTTAGAAGATGTCCCGACCCGCGGGTAAGTCAACGTGGACCTGAGGAGGGGAGTGGGAATGGATGGGACAGGAGACATGAGAAAAGGAGACAAGACAGTGTTCTGACCAAGTCTCCTTTATTCTTGAGATACGTGGGGTTTTGTAGGGTAAGAAACAGGAAAAGGGAGGGGCATGCAGCTGCACAGGAACAAAAGGGAGGCGTATGCAGCTGCAGTTAGATCAAAGCAGGGTGTTTTCACACAGATATGCTTATTTTGGCAAGGAGCTCTAACCACCATATGTTCCGAGCTGGTAACAGGAAAGCACACAGAGTTTCTTTCTCCCAGAAGTCTTATGATTTAATTATTGGCCGGCTCCCCACAAGAAGAAGTCAGCTGATTCCGGAAGGAGTGCCCTGCACGTTGTGCAGATCAGCAAACCACCAAGAGGGGCCTAGAGTATCTCTTTGCAGCCTATGGCCAGTCGCCAGTGATTGAGAGCAATCAAGGCACCCACTTTATTGGACATGCGTTGCAAGGATGGGTGCAGCTATTAGGAATAAAATGGACATGGTCTTGGACATTTCGACACATGGACCAGTGATGGCTGGCTCTTCTGGCACCTGGGGGTAAAGGCCTGGAAGCTGGCCTCCTGTGTATTCCTGGAATAACAGCAAAGTGGCCCCCCACAGTCACAGTTATTTGCTTCTACAGTCCTCGTGTCCTGGATGCACCCCCTGGCTGCAGCTGCCGTGTCATGTCTGGAGTGGACGAATTTTGGACTTCATCTGCATGGGACTTTGAACCTAGCTGAATCCTCTGGCTTGAGAATTATCAAGATTTTATTGCTGTTGCTACTGTATGTTATTAGATTGGTTGGAAAAGGGGGAAATGAGTAAATTGTAAGGCAACATTTCTGGAGGGGTGGCCTGTGGGTAAAATTGTAACATTTTCAGAATATCTCGCCTGGCTTTAGTACATCTGCATATCATAGGTGTTCAGAGGTGGAAAGAAGTATGGCTTTAGTACATTTACATCATTCCTCTGGGGTGGAGAGAAGTTCACCTCCATATCAACAGTTAATTACCTGGGTGAGGAGGACTTATCTGTACCTGAGAGGTGCAGGGAGGGCCAGTTTTGCTGCTGCTGGAGCAGGAGAGGGAGATGGGCTAGACTGCAGTTTTGTAAGCGATAAATGGGTTTTAAACTTTATTTCTCCCTCTGACTGATTTTTGTTTTTAGAGATATTTTGCTCTGGAATTTCCTCTCCCTGCACTTACAAAGGTCCACACCAAGACTGAATAGTGCTAAGCCCTCTCTTTCACCCTTTCTTTTCCCATTAACCAGTGAAAGGACTTTTAAAAAAGATTTTGGTAATTTAAATATAAAAACTTTGATATTGATGGAACACTCACATATATTAAGTATACAGTACAATTATTGTAACTATATATATATATATTTTTTGTTATCATTAATCTATAATTACATGAAGAACATTATGTTT